AAGAATCTACGCCGCACCCCACTGGTCATCACTACCAGGCTCGGAACAGTGGCTGACAACAAAGAATGGTCCAGCCCTACGGCTGCATCACAGTGTTAGAAAACCCTGTTCTAATGGCTTTATTGTTTCCTCCCTTTTTATTTTCTGCACAGCCTTTATCCATGCCTGAGATTCTCTTATTCACTCGGGACTTCTTTATGGCTCATTCCCCTGCAGCCCCCATCCTGGTTGGAACAGAAGTTTCACTTGGGAAAAGGCTTCCCTCTCTTGGAGGGCTTGTCTGGAAGCCTCGGAGCTCTTTCACTTACAAGAGCGCCAGCAAGGTATCCGCCTGGCCCTAAAATTGCTCTTCTATCTTACCGAGATGCATTTTACATGCTATAAAGCGGCTGTATGTTTTGGCACAAACTCATAAATGTAAAATAGTTGTATGACTTTTCTCAAGGAGAACCCCTCCATCCCCACCCCAGGGTGTTTTTCCTAATACCAACAAATTCTCCAACTCTAGACACCACCTGACCATCCTCCCATTCAACTCAGGTCTGACACTAACTGCCAGAGTTAATGTCAGAATCCACAGGTCAAGGGCTTAGTCCCACAAGACGACTGTGGATGCCAGTCTCAAGTACTGGGTCCCAGAGTTACCCACACTTCTGTCTGTTGCGGGAAAACAGAGACTGTGACACCGAGGCTATCTTAGAAAGTAGCTTTTTATTAGCACCAAGGTGACTCAGCGAGCTAATGCTCCAAGGCTGAGCAACCGGGAGAAAGAGGAGAGGGGTTTTATACCTTAGTTTAAGTAAGGGAGGGGATTCGGGGGTCGGGTTGTATGGCTGTACATTTTTCTTTGCAATTTGCAAGGTTGTATTCAGCAAAAACAGATTTTCAAAGAACAAATTGTCTCCAGGATATGCATGCCAAGCAGGGGTTGTAAACCAATAACTTTATAAAGACAGAATAGAGGAGGGGGGTAAAGTTGTGAATCGATGACTGTCTTGCACTTCCAGGAAAGCGGCTTGTGGCTATTTGGTTTTCTCACATCCCATGTCTAGCAGGTTTGGAGCTTGCAGGTTGATTTTTAAAAAGGAATAATTTTAACTG